ATCTCTCAAACCAACCTTTGCTGGCCTTAAATTCACTCACATCACCACTAGTTGCAGGCATTTTTCTAATTAAATCGTCATGCAACTTCCTAGCCTTTTCACATATGATCGTTTGATAGACGCTATCTCCTGCTATCTGTTTTTCGTTTATCCACACCAATAACAATCTCTCAACATTTTCTATCACTTGCGATCTCTGTTTCGAAAACAAAGTTGCACCTTTGGCAAGAACAGCTTCCTTGATTGGCCACAATAGTAGCGATGGTTGATTGGGGTTTTGTGTACAACCTGGCCAGCTCGGAGACATGCACTCCACTTTCATACTTAGCAATGATCTCTTTCTTCATATCCATAGTAATTCTCACCCCTTTTGCTGTAGGGTTGGCACTAGAAGCTTTCTTGGGGCCCATGGTGACTTATTTTGCAGGTGCAATCACTAAAAACGCTGTGATAATATGAAATGTTCCGATTGTATGTTTGGATGCGACCGCAATGGCTGGCTTGTAAACACTGGCACCCACGGGACAAGTGAGGTGCACTCAGGCCACAAGTGGACACGTCTCGAACGGAACGAATTGCGTTGGGCGAGTTTTTTAGCGCCAGCCGAGGCAAAATTTTTGCGTTAAAATGTATCGCTAGCCGGATTTAACGTTATGCGATGCGTTCGTTAGGCGAGGGTCCACTGTATATGCTTCTAAACTGTTGTGTTCTGGGCACCTCTGCAAAAACAGTGATTATGTATGAGTGAGGTGAAAGTGTTGAATGATGATGAAAGTATTTTCTTTTTGGGGATTTTCTTTCTTTTTGGGTCGCCCTGCCTCGGTGGGAGACGGCTAACTTGTTAAAAAAAAAAAAAAGTATGTGTAGTGTGACCTAAGTGTAAGTAGAAGGAACAAGACATACCTGAAATTTTGCATGTTTATGAGACAGAGAAAAGACACCAGCAATCCTACCATCATGTAAAACAAGTACATACAGGCTTCTGTTGTACACTCACTTGGCAGGATGGTAGTACCTCCCTGGGCAGTTGCTGTCTACCAACCTACTACCTATTACGTATTATTATTATTTTTTTTTTTTAACAAGTCGGCCATCTCCCACCGAGGCAGGGTGACCCAAAAAGAAAGAAAATCCCCAAAAAGAAAATACTTTCATCAGCATTCAACACTTTAACCTCACTCACACATAATCACTGTTTTTGCAGAGGTGCTCAGAACACAACAGTTTAGAAGCATATACTGTACGTACGTATAAAGATACACAACATACCCCTCCAAACTGCTAATATTCTGAACCCCTCCTTTAGAGTTCAGGCATTGTACTTTCCATTTCCAGGACTCAAGTCCAGCTATATAAAAATAATGGTTTCCCTGAATCCCTTCACTAAATATTACCCTGCTCACACTCCAACAGATCGTCAGGTCCCAAATACCATTCGTCTCCATTCACTCCTATCAAAAACGCTCACACACGCCTGCTGGAAGTCCAAGCCCCTCGCACACAAAACCTCCTTTACCCCTTCCCTCCAACCTTTCGTAGGCCGACCTCTAACCCGCCTTCCTTCCACTACAGACTGATACACTCTTGAAGTCATTCTGTTTCGCTCCATTCTCTCTACATGTTCGAACCACCTCAACAACCCTTCCTCAGTCCTCTGGACAACAGTTTTGGCAATCCCGCACCTCCTCCTAACTTCCAAACTACGAATTCTCTGCATTATATTCACACCACACATTGCCCTCAGACATGACATCTCCACTGCCTCCAGCCTTCTCCTCGCTGCAACATTCATCACCCATTCTTCACACCCATACAGGAGCGTTGGTAAAACTATACTCTCATACATTCCCCTCTTTGCTTCCAAGGACCAAGTTCTTTGTCTCCACAGACTGCTAAGTGCACCGCTCACCCTTTTCCCCTCATCAATTCTATGATTCACCTCATCTTTCACAGACCCATCCGCCGACACGTCCACTCCCAAATATCTGAATACATTCACCTCCTCCATACTCTCTCCCTCCAATCTGATATCCAATCTTTCATCACCTAATCTTTTTGTTATCCTCATAACCCTACTCTTTCCTGTATTCACTTTCAATTTTCTTCTTTTACATACCCTACCAAATTCATCCACCAACCTCTGCAATTTCTCTTCAGAATCACCCAAGAGCACAGTGCCTTCAGCAAAGAGCGACTGTGACAACTCCCACTTTATGTGTGATTCTTTATCTTTTAACTCCACACCTCTTGCCAAGACCCTCGCATTTACTTCTCTTAATACCCCATCTATAAATATATTGAACAACCACGATGACATCACACATCCTTGTCTAAGGCCTACTTTTACTGGGAAATAATCTCCCTCTTTCCTACATACTCTAACTTGAGCCTCGCTATCCTCGTAAAAACTCTTGATGAAAGTTAAGACACTTGTGCAACATCTGGTTATCTTTATTGTAGACGTTTTGCCATCCAGTGGCTTTATCAATACAGATTCTTGGACATAATAAGAAATCAGAAGAACTATATACATAAGATGAGGTAAACAGTCCCTCAGCCTTGGAGGTGGTGTTTAGAGCACCGTGGTTGTAGAGATTCTGAAGCACAGGCAAGGAGACTGGCGCTTATATAGGCGTCAGTGAAAGGGACGTGTAGCAGACGAAGGCATAGTCACAGGTAGGCGGGATTCCTCAGTGGAAGTAGGTCCTACCCAAATTGATGGGTTAGTTGCAGTAGCTGTGAAGAAGGTGATGTAGATGTCCTCTGAACCAAGATTCCATGATGTTGCATTGCCTGACAAGTTGTGCAAGACAGGTATACAATACCGACAAGATGAAAGTTAAGACACTTGTGCAACATTTGGTTATCTTTATTGTAGACGTTGTTTCGCCATCCAGTGGCTTTATCAATACGGATTCTTGGACATAATAAGAAATCAGAAGAACTATATACAAAAGATGAGGTAATCAGTCCCTCAGCCTTGGAGGTGGTGTTTAGAGCACCGTGGTTGTAGAGATTCTGAAGCACAGGCAAGGATATTGGCGCTTATATAGGCGTCAGTGAAAGGGACGTGTAGCAGACGAGGGCATAGTCACTGGTAGGCGGGATTCCCCAGTGGAAGTAGGTGCTCTGAACACCACCTCCAAGGCTGAGGGACTGATTACCTCATCTTTTGTATATAGTTCTTCTGATTTTTTATTATGTCCAAGAATCTGTATTGATAAAGCCACTGGATGGCGAAACGTCTACAATGAAGATAACCAGATGTTGCACAAGTGTCTTAACTTTCATCTTGTCGGTATTGTATACCTGTCTTGTAAAAACTCTTCACTGCTTTCAGTAACCTACCTCCTATACCATACATCTGCAACATCTGCCACATTGCCCCCCTATCCACCCTGTCATACGCCTTTTCCAAATCCATAAATGCCACAAAAACCTCTTTAGCCTTACCTAAATACTGTTCACTTATATGTTTCACTGTAAACACCTGGTCCACACACCTCCTACCTTTCCTAAAGCCTCCTTGTTCATTATTGTGTATAAGAAAGAAACTTGAGTCCAACACTTTCTCCAGTTTCTTAACATGCTCTTTTCAGGTGTGGGCTCCATACTGGTGTTCCATACTCCAAGATGAGCATGATATATTGTATAAGAAGGGCACCAAATGATTTTTGTTGAAATTTTTTATTTGCAAGACAATCATTGGTTGCAGAGGTTATTTGGTCAATGTAAACTTGTGGTAGTATACCAGGCACTATGCTCAACCATAGGTCTTTCTCTGTAAATGAGGTCTGCAGCCTCTGTGTCCAGTCTTCTTGCCTCTTCCCCAATCTTCATTACTTTGCATTTCTTGGGATTGACTTCAAGCAGCCCTTTATATGACCAATCTTGCAGTTTGTCCAGAACTATTTGAAGCCTTTTCCTGTCCTTATCTTTTTTTTTTATATTAGTTTTATGTCATCAGCAAACTGGGGTATATCTGATTTATTCCCATCTGGAATGTTAGTCAAATAAATCAGATGCTGTACTGGTGCTGATACTGATCCTAACTAAACCCTGCTAGTTACTCTTCCCTATTCTGACATCTCTTTGGCAATCTCCTAGCTTTCTTTCCCTAAGGTACTCTTTGATCTACTGGAGCATGTCTTTCATTCTTGCCTGGCTTTACATCATAAATATGTAATCTACAGTAATTGACTAATCTTTACAAAACAAATTTGAGCTCACAATACATGCAGAACATGAACATAAACACAATCTCAATGCACCTGGTGAAAACTTTTGAATAAATAAAAACTAAATTCAGCTTTAATAAAATTTTAATTTTGTAATCTACAGTGCTTTGCCAAATGAATTTGAACTTTGAACACATGCATAAACTGAACTTAACCTATCAGTGCATTTGGTTAAAAACTTAACTGATAAAAAAAAAATTAATGTAATTGAGTTTTAACAAAATATTGATTACACACTTCATGACCAGTCATTACCCAAGAACATAAGCTCTCCACACAAGGATACAATTAACATGAAAACTGTCAACAGGAAGACATAATATTTGTAATTTGGATTAACAAAATTGTAGGTATATAATCTACAGTTCTTAACCACTCCACTAGTCAAATATGAACTCCACACATGCTTAGAATAAACATACACAAATTATCAGTGCTTTTGGTAAAAAAAATGCCTGAGAAAAGCACTGTACTGAAAATAATGGTAAAGCAAGGTTGTAAAAATGGAGACCATGAAAAGTCATCCATTATCTGGCATTCTAAAAAAAAGTTTGGTGCACCCCCTTTCTTTACTTGGAGGTAGATAATGAATAACTGTGAATTATGAATAGCATTATTTAAAAAAATGATAAAGGAACTAAAGGTAGTTTTTTAATCAACTGAAGTAATTTTTTTTTCCTAATTTCCTTTTGTCCTTATGTACTAATTTATTATTTGAATCTTCCTCATTGTTACTTATTCATGATATTTGTTTCTTTTCAGATGTGTACTATGATGTAAAACCAAATCATGATTATGAGCTGCAAGCATGCAACTGTAAGCGACCTACCAAACCTGGAGAACGTGGCTGTGGTGATGATTGTATCAACAAAATGATGCTCATTGAATGCTTCTCTCAGACTTGCCCTATTGCAGACTCCTGTGGAAATCAACCAATACAAAGACATGAATACAAAACGTGTCTTCAGCGTTTCATGACTCCGAATAAAGGTTGGGGCATTAAGACAACACAAGAAATTAAGGCTGGAACATTTATAATGGAATATGTTGGAGAAGTGGTTAGTGAGAAAGAGTTTAAACTGAGAATGCAAACTAAATATGCCAATGATACACACCATTACTGTTTAAACCTTGACCGAGGGATGGTTATTGATGGTCATCGGATGGGAGGAGACTGCCGATTTGTAAATCATTCTTGTGATCCTAACTGTGAAATGCAAAAGTGGTATGTTAATGGTCAATATCGTATGGCTTTGTTTGCTTTAAAGGATATTGAAGAGGGAACTGAACTCACCTATGACTACAATTTTTCCCTCTTCAATCCTGCTGAAGGACAAGAATGTAAATGTGGGTCTGAAAATTGTCGTGGAGTTATTGGTGCAAAGTCTCAGAGAGTAAATGGTTTTATTGATGACAAAAAGAAGGCTCCTAAGAAGGATATGGGAAAGAAGCGCAAGCGTGGAACAACAGCTGAAGCCGACAATAACTACATTCCCCGTCCACATTTTACCCCAATCAAGCCATTATCACACCAACAGCAACTATTCATTTTAACTCATCGATGCTTTCTCATTCGCAATTTGGAAAAAGTTAAGAAATCTAGGGATCGTTTAAGTCGATGTGCTGAGAAAAAACATGAGGAAGTCTTAGATGACCCTGATGAACCTAGCACCAGAGTTGAGAAATTTCTTACTCACTTTACTGCTCTCAACACTGCTAGATCTGTGAAAACACGACGTCTTGCTCAAGCTGAAGATGACCCTGAAATGACTCGATTAGCTAAACTAGCACAGATCTTCAAAGATATTTTTGATAAACTTGTTGCGTCTAGGGACAGCAATGACAAACCTTTGGCTACTCCATTCATGACATTGCCATCCAAAAAAAAGTATTCTACTTATTACATAAGAGTAGGTGAGCCAATTGACCTAGCTCTTGTAGAGAAAAACATTCTTACTGGACATTACATTACTGCAGAGGCATTTGATCGTGATGTTATGCGCCTTTTTGCTAACAACCTTCGATTTTTTGGGCGTAATACGGAAGTGGGTCAAATGGCTGTTGGCTTACGCCGGGTGTATAGTGAATGTAAATTGCAGTTCAAACCCTTACTGGAAGAAGTCTTAGGAGAAGATGCGCTCCCACCTGCTTTTGCCAATTCCAGTCCAAATGAAGAGTTTGAGGATGAAGATGTAATTAGGTGTGTTTGCAATCTCCACCGTGATGAAGGAGTTATGATACAATGTGAAAGGTGTCTGGTGTGGCAACATTGTGACTGCATGGGTGTGACTGACTCTCCTGATCACTACCTGTGTGAAGAGTGCTCACCTCGCCTCATCTCCCCTGAGGTGCCTATGAATCCTCAGCCTCCAGATGCTCCTAGAGATCATAAATACTTCATAACCCTGCTGAGAGACAATCTACAGGTTAAACAAGGTAGGAAGAAATTCACAATCTGTTTTAATTTACTGTCTTGTGTAATCCATTTAAATGTAGGAGTAGATTTTTTCCTTTTGACATGTAGTTTTGTGCTTTGTTGCAAACCGTGAAAAATTCACTGAATTTGAAATTTAGTTAAACCCAGCTGGGAAATTTTACTGAGTAGTGCTGCTTCCGAATGGCCAGTTTTAGAGCCAGTTAAAGGGTAGGGTATCCCGAGACTTCTGGAGAAATAAGTAAACTTACACCTAACTCATTACACATTTTCTGTGACCTCATGTAATGTTAAAGCAGATTTGTTACCTAAACACCCACGAAAAATTTATTTCTGTAATTTGAAAGTGATTAACCCTTTGAGGGTTGGTCACGTACAAGTACGTCATTGCAGCCAGGGTCGGTCATGTACTTGTATGCCTAAATTCTAGCGCCTTCAAATCTGGTGGAAGAAAGCTGGCAGGCCTACATATGAAAGAATGGGTCTGTGTGGTCAATGTGCACAGTATAAAAAAAATCCTGAAGCACGCTGTACATAATGAGAAAAAAAACGTCGACTGTGTTTTTGGTTTAAAACAGCGACTTTCTAGTGAATTTTCTTATGGTATTTATGGTTGTATTCTCGTTTCCTTGGTCTCATTTGATAGAATGGAAGATATATTGCAGAATTAGAGATGATTTTGATTGGTTTCATGATGAAAAGTACCTTGAAATTGAGCTCAAAGTAGCTAAAATGATCAATTTTTTCTGATATTCAAGAGTAAACAAATCAAGCCATGCGTCCAATACATGTCAACTAGTGAGTCTAATATTCTTTCATAAGTGCACTGATATCATTTATACCATTTTTACAATGATGCAGTAGTATACATAACAGAAAACTTTCTATTTTCTGTGAGAATAAAAATTCAAAATGGAAAGCAAAAGTAATGTAAGAGGGGCCTAGAGAAATGACTAATGAACTGATAAAATGTTAAGTAAAAGGACACAAGTGCAACTAATGTGACATTTTATTGTGGCAACGTTTCGCTCTCCAGGAGCTTTATCAAGCCATTACAAACAGTACATGGACACAGAGGGTATATATAGGCTCAGAGTGAGGTGCAATACTGGCGGCGGCATATATAGGCTCAGAGTGAGGTGTAATACTGGCGGCGGCAGCAGCAGCAGCAGCAGTAGTAGGAGTAGTAGAAGAAGAAGTAATACAATATGTAGAACAGCTGCTGCCGCTGCCGCCGCCAGTATTGCACCTCACTCTGAGCCTATATATGCCGCCGCCGCCGCCAGTATTGCACCTCACTCTGAGCCTATATATACCCTCTGTGTCCATGTACTGTTTGTAACGGCTTGATAAAGCTCCTGGAGAGTGAAACGTTGCCACAATAAAATGTCACATTAGTTGCACTTGTGTCCTTTTACTTTACATATTGTCGGTAATTCTACTACTTTATTACAGATAAAATGTTATTTTAGTTAGATTAGGTTAGGTAAGGTTCATCAGGAAACAGGACAAGTGTTTCCTGACGTGGGTCTTAGTCAGATGATGACCTGCCTTTGGAGCTTTTGGTCATCTGACCGAGGCCTTCTGCTGGCTTACCGGTCCACCCCTTTAAAAATTATGGTCATGTATAACCATTTTAATTTTTTTTTTTTTTTGTTATTTTAGTGCCATGAATGTCTGTCTTGTTTATTCTGAACCCTATTTTGAAATTGGCATCTTTTGAAATTTGTGTGAAATTGCCCAAATTGCCAATTTTTGACCACTTTATTGGGTAGTTGAAATCGGCAAATGGGCGGATTCTTGTACTCAATCAATAGAACAAATGGAGTTCTAGGGAAATAGCTATGATTTTAGTCAACTGAAACTGGAATTGGCGAAAAATAGGGCCCAAAGTGAGCGAAATCGCTAACTGAAACCGCTAACTTTGCAAGAGCATAATTCCGTTAAGTTTTTCATCAAATTTCATACTTTTGGTGTCATTATGATTCGAAAAAGATTCTCTTATCATTTCATAAGTTTTTTTTTATCCTGAGAACGAGCTTGGGACAGGGCCTCTCGACAATCAAAAGGTTAATGTACAATAACTTTTAACACTGGTCATTTCCTATGAAGATAGGATGACACATAGAAAGAAACATTCTTTCTTCTTTTTAAGTTCAGTAATTTATACAGCAGAAGAGGTTACCAGCCCCTTGCTCCCGGCATTTTAGTCGCCTCTTACAACGCGCATGGCTTACTGAGGAAGAATTCTGTTCCACTTTCCCATGGAGATAAGAGGAAATAAACAAGAATAAGAACTAGAAAGAAAATAGAAAACCCAGAGGGGTGTGTGTATATATGTGCTTGTACATGTATGTGTAGTGTGACTTAAGTCTTCTTCTTTCAACACACTGGCCGTATCCCACCGAGGCGGGGTGGCCCAAAAGCAAAAACGAAAGTTTCTCCTTTTACATTTAGTAATATATACAGGAGAAGAGGTTACTAGCCCCTTGCTCCCGGCATTTTAGTTGCCTCCTACAACACGCATGGCTTACGGAGGAAGAATTCTGTTCCACTTCCCCATGGAGGTAAGAGAAAATAAACAACAAGAACAAGAACTAGTAAGAAAATATTAGAAAACCCGGAGGGGTGTGTGCTTATATGCTTGTACATGTATGTGTAGTGTGACTTAAGTGTAAGCAGAATTAGCAAGACATACCTGAAATCTTGCATGTTCATGAGACAGAAAAAAGGACACCAGCAATCCTACCATCATGTAAAACAATTACAGGCTTCCGTTTTACACTCACTTGGCAGGACGGTAGTACCTCCCTGGGCGGTTGCTGTCTACCAACCTACTACCTAGGAGAAACACATTCATCATCACTTATTCCCTAGTTGTCTTTCTAGAAGGATATGGATATTACAGTTCAAATAAGCCACCAAACAGCATTATTCCTACCCACTAATGAACTTGACAATGAAGAATGAGAGGGGGCATATGTTAGATGGGGAAGTGGAGGTACTAGAAAGATGGAGAGGAGAGCATATTTTGACATTTTGTTGAATGTTAGTGATGAAGGGAGGCAGTGATTTCATGCATGAGGCAGGTAAGTATAACATCATATTAGAATGAGGTAGAGCCTGAGTTGGCTGTGGAGAAAGTGTGAGGCAGTGGACAGAATGAAAAGAGGTAGTTCATTTGTTGAAAGGAGGTGGTGATGTAGTGTTGAAGTGGTTGGTATGTTCAGTATATGCATGAAAGAAAAGAGGTGCCAAAGGATTAGCAGTGTGTGTGCATCATTCCTTTGTTTAAAGGAAGAAGGAACAAAAAGAGAATTTAAGAATTATAGGGAGACAGCCTGCTGAGTATACCAGGTAAAATTTTGGGTGGAATTATTATTGTAAGGGTTAAGGATAAGACAAAAAATAGGATTGCAGAAGAACAGGGAGGAATTAAGATGGGTAGATGTGTAAACAGTGTGTTTACATTGAAGCATATAAGTGAGCCATACTTAGATAAGGGTAAGAAGCTGTTTGTGGCATTTATTCACTTAGAAAAGGCATATGATAGGTTGGATAGGGAAGCCATGTGGCAAATATTTCAAATGCATAGCATAGAACATATTACTAAAAGGAGTAAAAAGTTTGTACAGAGAGTGTGGCTCAGGCTAGGGAATGTAGGAGGTGGCTCAGGTTAGGGAATGTAGGAGGTAGAGGGACTATTTCTCAGTGAAAGTAGGACTTAATAGGTATGCATGCTGTAACCATGATTGTTTAACATATTCATTGATGGGGTTGTTAGAGCTAAAAGCTAGGGTGTTGGAAAGGGGTATGGAATTGAAAAATGTGGGATCTTGTACAATATGGGAATTATTCCAATTGCTTTTTGTTGATGACATAGTTCCATTCAGAAATTCTGAAGGTAAATTACAAAGGCTGGTGGTAGAATTTGGGAGGGTATATAAAAGAAGGAAATCAAAAGTGAATGTAGAAAGAGCAAGATGAAGAGGGTAACCAAAAAGTCTTTTCAGTGATAGATTGAATATCAGATTGGAGGAAGTGGATGTATATAGGCATTTGGGAGTGGACATGTCACTGATGGGTCTGTGAAAGATAAGGTGAACCATAGAATGTATTAATGTTGGTAGAATTACCGTCAATATGTTAGGTAAAAGGACACAAGTGCAACTAATGTGACATTTTATTGTGGCAATGTTTCACTCTTGAGGTAATGGCTTGACAAAGCTCCTGGAGAGCAAAACGTTGCCACAATAAAATGTCACATTAGTTGTAGTTGTGTCCTTTTACCTAACAAACACAACCATAGAATAGATGAAAGGGAAGAGGAAGATTGGACGGAGTGGATACAAGAGGTTTCAGGTTTTAGGAGCTTGAGTATCCATCAGGTTTGTGTGAATATGTTAGATAAGAGGGAATGAAGACAAGAGATTTTAATGGATATGTTGTTGGAATATGGACAGGGTAACATTTATGAAGGGATTCAGGTAAATCGGTTAATGCTGGCACTGCACTCTAAAATGAATGGGCTTTATTCTTTGGTTCACCCTGAGTTTGCAAGATGACCCTTGAGTTAAAAAATTATAATAATAATAATAAGTTTTGGAGTGGTTGGTGCAATTATTTAATAAATGTATGGAAGAGGGTAAGGTACCTAGGGATTGGCAGAGAGCATGCATAGTTCCTTTGTATAAAGGCAAAGGGGATAAAAGAGAGTGCAAAAATTATAGGGGGATAAGTCTGTTGAGTATACCTGGTAAAGTGTATGGTAGAGTTATAATTGAAAGAATTAAGAGTAAGACGGAAAATAGGATAGCAGATGAACAAGGAGGCTTTAGAAAGGTAGGGGGTGTGTGGACCAGGTGTTTACAGTGAAACATATAAGTGAACAGTATTTAGATAAGGCTTAAGAGGTCTTTGTGGCATTTATGGATTTGGAAAAGGCATATGACAGGGTGGATAGGGGGGCAATGTGGCAATGTTGCAAGTGTATGGTGTAGGAGGTAGGTTACTGAAAGCAGTGAAGAGTTTTTACGAGGATAGTGAGGCTCAAGTTAGAGTATGTAGGAAAGAGGGAAATTTTTTCCCAGTAAAAGTAGGCCTTAGACAAGGATGTGTGATGTCACCGTGGTTGTTTAATATATTTATAGATGGGTTGTAAGAGAAGTAAATGCGAGGGTCTTGGCAAAAGGCGTGGAGTTAAAAGATAAAGAATCACACACAAAGTGGGAGTTGTCACAGCTGCTCTTTGCTGATGACACTGTGCTCTTGGAGATTCTGAAGAGAAGTTGCAGAGATTGGTGGATGAATTTGGTAGGGTGTGCAAAAGAAGAAAATTAAACGTGAATACAGGAAAGAGTAAGGTTATGAGGATAACAAAAAGATTAGGTGATGAAAGATTGGATATCAGATTGGAGGGAGAGAGTATGGAGGAGGTGAACGTATTCAGATATTTGGGAGTGGATGTGTCAGCGGATGGGTCTATGAAAGATGAGGTGAATCATAGAATTGATGAGGGAAAAAGAGTGAGTGGTGCACTTAGGAGTCTGTGGAGACAAAGAACTTTGTCCTTGGAGGCAAAGAGGGGAATGTATGAGAGTATAGTTTTAACCAACGCTCTTATATGGGTTGAAGCATGGGTGATGAATGTTGCAGCGAGGAGAAGGCTGGAGGCAGTGGAGATGTCATGTCTGAGGGCAATGTGTGGTGTGAATATAATGCAGAGAATTCGTAGTTTGGAAGTTAGGAGGAGGTGCGGGATTACCAAAACTGTTGTCCAGAGGGCTGAGGAAGGGTTGTTGAGGTGGTTCGGACATGTAGAGAGAATGGAGCGAAACAGAATGACTTCAAGAGTGTATCAGTCTGTAGTGGAAGGAAGGCGGGGGTAGGGTCGGCCTAGGAAAGGTTGGAGGGAGGGGGTAAAGGAGGTTTTGTGTGCGAGGGGCTTGGACTTCCAGCAGGCATGCGTGAGCGTGTTTGATAGGAGTGAATGGAGACAAATGGTTTTTAATACTTGACGTGCTGTTGGAGTGTGAGCAAAGTAACATTTATGAAGGGATTCAGGGAAACCGGCAGGCCGGACTTGAGTCCTGGAGATGGGAAGTACAGTGCCTGCACTCTGAAGGAGGGGTGTTAATGTTGCAGTTTAAAAACTGTAGTGTAAAGCACCCTTCTGGCAAGACAGTGATGGAGTGAATGATGGTGAAAGTTTTTCTTTTTCGGGCCACCCTGCCTTGGTGGGAATTGGCCAGTGTGATAATAAAAAAAAAAAAAAATTATTTTCTCCATGGGGAAGTGGAACAGAATTCTTTTTCCGTAAGCCATGCGTGTTGTAAGAGGCGACTAAAATGCTGGGAGCAAGGGGCTAGTAACCCCTTCTCCTGTATACATAACTAAAGTTAAAAAGAGAAACTTTTGTTTTTCTTTTTGGGCCCCCCATGCTTTGGTGGGATACAGCCAGTTTTTTGAAAGATGTGTAAATCTGGGTCATTTTTGGTATGTATAAGTAAGAGGTATTTAAAACTTAATGTTAAATGTACTAGGTTGGACTAAAACATCATCATAAATTTCATTTTGTGTGCAAGTTACTTATGTATTATTCCAGTCATGGTTTTGTGCTTTTTTATTCTTTGTCAAAAGTGAGTACTACAAAGATAAAATAATTCTATAGAGATGCAGTTACTTAACTAGATGAGTACTACTGGTAGCAATAATGGTTATAAGTGTACAAAAAAATAGCTGATGTAAAAAAATAATCATGTTAGCCAAAAGTGTTGTTCTAAAATAAAAATAGCAAAGTTATAACTATGTACAAGAATTTGGATTCTGCTGCATACTAATGTTGGATAAAAATAAAAAATGGTCAAAGTCAAGATTAATAATAGTAATAATAATCACTTTACAAGCTAGTTAAGTAGAGCACAAACAAAGAGGTTCCTATTACCAACTCCTGGAGTTTTAAAATTATGACTGGTTAGTTAGGTCAGATTCCTTGAGAAAATTGCTTAGGTATCATACACTGACTATTCTGGTGGTGGTTTTCCTTTGCAAAAATTTATCTATCATGTACAGAGCAGTGATGAAGTTATTTACCCTTGTTAAAATGAAGTTACTTTGCCTGAATAAAAGGCCTGGATGCTTTTCTATGAGACACTCATTTACAAGGTGCATTTTCTGCTTTATGGCTGATTGAATGAGGTCTTTTATTCTCTAAGTGGTATGCATATTTCCACATTTCAGCTAGCTTTCAGGCATTTCCTGACATTTAAAATTTTAGTTTCAGTATGCATATTAATAACATTGATGTTATGTTGTATAGAAACATAAATTATCATAATTTTAAATCAGACTTACTGAACAGCATTGGTTGTTTACTTCCCTGTTTACCTTACACGATTGCTTCTTTAAAGAACAAAAAGGCACAATACCATTACCGGAGCAATACACAAACAACCCGCACATAGGAGAAAGAAATTTAGGACAATGTTTCAATCTGACTTGGATCATTAACTAGCTATGGTATGTGCTAGTTAATGGTCCAAGTCAGACTGAAATGTTATCATAAGGTTTTCTCCTGCATAAAGATTGCTCGTGTATTGCTTCTTTAATTTCGCTAGGGTCTGTGTTAATCTTTAGCTCATCTCAAATCACTTGAAGAGTGACATTCAGAAAGGTATTTTTATCAGTGATATCTGGGAATGTTGTTCCATTAATGTAACAGCATCTGATAGTCTTGCTGCTCCATTAGACCTGCTTATTTGTTTATGAGATCAGCAAATTGTGTTCTAGTGTATGTTTTCTACTTTTTTTTTAATCTTCATTGAAAGAATTTATTTGAACATCAATGTCATTCACGTTTTCACTGTTACTTTTGACTGTTTGCACATCTAGTTAAAATTTCCTGACATTTTCTTGCATAGTTGGTTGGTAATGACTTTCACTAGTTCTTCAATTTTGAATATTAGGAATGTTTCAAGTTTATTTTTCATGCACTATATTTTAAATTTGTGGCCATTTAAAAAAATTACCAAAAGTGAGCTTCCTTGGAGAGTTTTATTCAAATTCTCAAAGGAGAAAGGTCAGCCATTTTAGTTGTTTTGATTGAGGCTTGGTTGACTGTGGTAGGGGCAAGGGAGGTGTCTGCCCCAAGCTTCTGAGGGAAGAAGTTGTAGAGAGAGACTTTTTCATCTGTGGTCATCTCTATCCTGTTCTCTGATGTCTTCCTTTACCTATGAGCTGGACGATTAATACTTGGGTCTAATGTAATATTCACTTCAGTCCATTTTTGCCAGTGTACAGCTCACCTGGCAGTGGGGTTGCAGTGTCTGGTGAATGAAGTGGAGCATGAACTTTCCTGTTTTTATTAACTTCAGGACAAATTTGGTTTGTTTTTCACAAGTTTTTTTTTTTTCTGTTATCTTAGGCTTCCATATTTCCTTTGTTGCCAGATGTCTTGCTGTTAGGCCATTGTGAAAAATCTGATTACCTTGAATAGACTGAACTGAAGAGCAAACACACAGTTCTTGATAAGATATTTTTTTGGAGCCTTTCAAGTTACCGTATTTCTCTGAATATTCTTGTATCTGTAAATATACCGTAATCCTGTTCTTCTCAGGTGACAGTGTTTATATTCTTCGTGATCGGCCACAGCAAAAGCCAGGAGAGAGACGACAGCCAGCTTACCGACTTGTCAAAGACATCAAGCCTCATGATCTCTTAATATTCAAGATAGAAAATCTGTGGATTGATGAAAAGTATGTATATTTTATCATTTTTTTTTTATTTTCCTATAAAAAATAAAAATGACCAAGAATTTTTTTTTGTGTCTGCTATTGGTTAACTTCATGAAATTCATATTTATAATTTTTATAAGAATTCACTTATTAAATGCACTTTATAGGTAACCTTCAGTAGTTCTGTGTTCTGTTTCTATGGAAAAATTTATATCCTTTGCTCTCTGTTGCTTCACCACTGAACTCTGCTTTCTGTTGCTTCACCACCCACTGAACTCTGCTCTCTGTTGCTTCACCATCCACTGAACTCTGCTCTCTGTTGCTTTACCACCCACTGAACTCTGCTCTCTGTTGCTTCACCACCCACTGAACTCTGCTCTCTGTTGCTTCACCACCCACTGAACTCTGCTCTCTGTTGCTTCACCACTCACTGAACTCTGCTCTCTGTTGCTTCACCACCCACTGAACTCTGCTCTCTGTTGCTTTGCCACCCACTGAACTCTGCTCTCTGTTGCTTCACCACCCACTGAACTCTGCTCTCTATTGCTTCACCACCCACTGAACTCTGCTCTCTCTTGCTTCACCACCCACTGAACTCTGCTCTCTGTTGTCACCACTGAAGTCTGCTCTATGTTGCTTCACTACTGAACTCTGCTCTCTGTTGCTTCACTACTGAACTCTGCTCTCTGTTGCTTCACCACCCACTGAACTCTACTCTGTGTTGCTCAACCACTGAACTTGGCTCTATTGTTCAACCACTGAACTCAGCTCTCTGCTGTTCAGCCACTGAACTTAGCTCTCACTTGCTAAATGATCCTCTTTTATTGCCATATTTTACAGATTGCAAAACTTTTATCAAACTTTTTTTTTTTTTTTTTTTTTTTTTTTTTTTTTTTTTTTTTTTTTTTTTTTTTTTTGATGGCTCAATTGACTGTAAAGTTTTACCACTAGAATTCTTGTATATACAATACTTTACATATAGTATAATTATTTAACGGTGCTCATATTCATTGCAGGGGAGACAAATTTGCATTTGGACATCACTACTTGCGTCCACATGAAACCTTCCATGAGCCATGGCGGAAGTTTTTCCCAAACGAAGTAATTCGTTCACCATTGTGTGAAATATTGCCACTGGACATGGTGATAAATCATTGCTGGGTACTGGATCTCAATAGCTATTGCAGGGGGCGACCCATTGGTGCTCAGGAAGATCACGTATATGTATGCGAGTATCGAGTGGACAAAAGTGCCAGGGTCTTCTCTAAGATCAGCAAACCCAAATACCCAATTTGCATCAAGCCATATGCCTTCATTACCTTTCCAGAGAGACTAAGACCACAGCGTACATATACTGTAAGTGAGCTTGTTTTTGTTTTCTTTCAAAATTCCATATGATCAATAGAAGATGAATAAGCAAGTTGCTCTGTTATGTTCTTCAGACTTGAAAAGAACTAAATTGGAAAATTGGGACATAAAATTTGAGGGATTATTTTGTTTAGCTTAGTATTATAATACATTAATATTAATGAGGTACTGTATGTCTAATGCTTGATCTTCAAAATTATTGGAATTCGGTTCTGAATAGTTATTTAATTAGTTTTCAGTCTCTTGTAATCATCATCATCTCAATATATCTAGTTTCCCATCATTATGCTTTTTCAGCCTTTCACTTCAGGACATGTTTAGAACACCTTTTTTTTGGATTAGCTTGAAACTTGGACACTTAGATATACACATTCATATTATCAAAGTTTCCTATTCACGTTTTGGTGATTCACGTTTTTTTTTTTTTTTTAACATGCCAGCCTTTTCTACTGAGGCAGGGTGACACCCCCCCCCCTCCTCACACACACACACACACACAAAAAAAAAAAAAAAACTTTCACCATCATTTAGTACTTTTACTATCATTCAACACTTTCACCATCTTTTTTTTTTTAACACACCGGCTGTATCCCACCAAGGCAGGGTGGCCCAAAAGGAAAAACGAAAGTTTCTCCTTTTACATTTAGTAATATATACAGGAGAAGGGGTTACTAGCCCCTTGCTCCTGGCATTTTAGTCGCCTCTTACAATACACATGGCTTACGGAGGAAGAATTCTGTTCCACTTCCCCATGGAGGTAAGAGAAAATGAACAAGAACTAGTAAGAAAATAGAAGAAAACCCAGCGGGGTGTGTATATATATATGCTTGTACATGTATGTGTAGTGTGACCTAAGTGTAAGTAGAAGTAGCAAGACGTACTGAAACCTTGCGTGTTTGTGAGACAGAAAAATGGACACCAGCAATCCTACCATCATGTAAAACAATTACAGGCTTTCGTTTTACACTCACTTGGCAGGACGGTAGTACCTCCCTGGGCGGTTGCTGTCTACCAACCTACTACCTAGGACTTTCACCATCATTCACACATAATCACTGTCTTTGCAGAGGTGCCCAGATATGACAGTTTAGATGTCACTCCAAATAGCTAATACTCAAGCCTCTCCTTTAAAGTGCAGGCATTATACTTCTCACCTCCAGGACTCAAGTCTGGCTAACCAGCTTCCCTGAATCCCTTCACAAAATATTACCTTCTTCACACTCCACCAGCTCATCATTCCCAGAAACCATTCATCTCCATTCACTCCAATCTAACACACTCACACATGCCTACTGCACATCTAGGCCCCTTGCACACAAGACCTCTTTTACCCCTCCTTCGATTCTTTCCTAGGACCCTTCCTCCTCTCCACTACAGATTTATACACCCTCCAAGTCATTCTGTTTTGCTCTCTCCTCTCTAAATGACCAAACCACCTCAATCTCCCCTCTTCAGCCCTCTGAATAATACTTTTTGTAATTCCACACCTTCTCCTAATTTCCACATTACGAATTCTCTGCATAATATTTACACCACACATTGCTCTAGACACGACGTCACTGCCTCCACCACCCTCCTTGCTGCAGCATTCACACCCATATAAGAATGTTAGTACCACTATATACACTTGTACAGTCTCCTCTTTACCTCCAAGGATAAAGTTTTTTGTCTCTACAGACACCTCAGTGCACCACTCACATTTTTTCCTTCATCAGTCCTATGGTTAACCTCGTCCTTCATAAACCCATCTGCTGACAAATCTACTCCCAAATACCTGAACACATTCACCTCTTCCATACTCCCTCCCTCCTATGTGATATCCAATTTTTCTTTACCTAACTCATTTGATACCCTTATCGCCTTACTCTTATCTATGTTCAGTTTCAACTTTCTACCTTTACACACACTCCCAAATTCATCCACTAACCTTTGCAACTTCTCTTTGGAATCTCCTAAAAGAATGGTATCATCAGCAAAAAGTAACTTTGACAACTCCTATTTTGTACAGGTCCTCCATCACAAATCCGGCATCATTGGGACCTGTAGTGTGCCGGATTACTGAGTTTGCCGGATTACAGAGTGGTTAGGTTAGAATACACTTAATAAAATTAACCAACTTGACTTACACAAAGTTCATTGAACATCGGCAAAAATCGAACATTTCCGCTACTTTGAGCTCAATTTCAAGGTACTTTTCGTCATGAAAGCAATCAAAATCATGTCTATTTCTGTAATTATATCTTGCATTCTATCAAATGAGTAAAAAAACGAGAATACAATCATAAAAACCATACGAAAATATACTGCAAAGAGGCGGCTAATGGCTGAGAAGTGAACTCCCTTATTTATCGTCCGTCTTTTTTATTTTTGTCGTAAGTTAAGAAGCATCTTTCCATCATACATTGCCCAAGTTTCAATGAGATAGCCCAACAAACAACTGAGAACAAAAAATATTTACCAAAAATCATATGTGGCAAGCCCAAGCCAGGTACTGGAAATAAGTCACTTTGTCTGACTTTTTTGGGTTATCCTAGGTTCTCTATACATACACTGCTATGTATGATAATCTGTGTAACTATTTGTGTATACCTGAATAAACTTACTTATTTACTTACTTCTAGTCAGTCAACTGAGTACAAGAAACCACCCATTCACTTATTTCAACTACCCAATAAAGTGGTCAGAAATTGGCAATTTGGCCAATTTCACACAAATTTCAACAGATGCCAATTTCAAAATAGGGTCCAGAATAAACAATGCAGACATTCCTGGCACTAAAATAACATTTTCTCTGCTCATTAGTCATGGCTACAGGCCCCTCTTATATTACTCTTGCTTACCATTTGGAATTTTTATTTACAAAAAAATAGAAGATTTACTGTTATGCAGACTGCTGCATTATTGTAATAATTTGTATAAATAATGTCAACCCATTCTTAACTCCGTATTGGAATTTGGACTGGCAGGTGGACAGGTATTAGATGGTGACGTCATTTGTTTACTCTTGACCTCGCTAAAGAATAGAACATTTTCGCTACTGTGAGCGTAATTTCAAGGTACTTTTCGTCATGAAAGCAATCAAAATCATATCTATTTCTGTAATATATCTTTCATTCTATCAAATGAGACCGAAAAAATGAGAATATAACCATAAAAACCATACAAAGATATACCGCTAAGCGGCCGCTAATGGCTGAGAAGTGAGCTCCACTATTTATTGTCTGATTTCTTTCATTTTTGGTGTATGTTAAGAAGTATCTTTCCATCATACATTGCCCAAGTTTCAATAAGATAACCCAACAAACAATTGAGAAAATAATAATAATAATAATACAGTGGACCCCCAGTTAAGGATATTTTTTCATTCCAGAAGTATGTTCAGGTGCCAGTACTGACCGAATTTGTTCCCATAAGGAATGTTGTGAAGTAGATTAGTCCATTTCAGACCCCCAAACATACATGTACAAACGCACTTACATAAATACACTTACATAATTGGTCGCATTGGAAGGTGATCGTTAAGCGTTGAGGTATATGTGGAGTCAAAAAACGTTATCTATGGAGGCAAAGAAGGGAATGTATGAAAGTATAGTAGTACCAACACTCTTATATGGGTGTGAAGCTTGGGTGGTAAATGCAGCAGCGAGGAGACGGTTGGAGGCAGCGGAGATGTCCTGTTTAAGGGCAATGTGTGGTGTAAATATTATGCAGAAAATTCGGAGTGTGGAAATTAGGAGAAGGTGTGGAGTTAATAAAAGTATTAGTCAGAGGGCAGAAGAGGGGTTGTTGAGGTGGTTTGGTCATTTAGAGAGAATGGATCACAGTAGAATGACATGGAAAGCATATAAATCATATAGGGGAAGGAAGGCGGGGGAGGGGTCGTCCTCGAAAGGGTTGGAGAGAGGGGGTAAAGGAGGTTTTGTGGGTAAGGGGCTTGGACTTCCAGCAAGCGTGCGTGAGCGTGTTAGATAGGAGTGAATGGAGACGAATGGTACTTGGGACCTGACGATCTGTTGGAGTGTGAGCAGGGTAATATTTAGTGAAGGGATTCAGGGAAACCGGTTATTTTCATATAGTCGGACTTGAGTCCTGGAAATGGGAAGTACAATGCCTGCACTTTAAAGGAGGGGTTTGGGATATTGGCAGTTTGGAGGGATATGTTGTGTATCTTTATATGTTTATGCTTCTAGACTGTTGTATTTCTGAGCACCTCTGCAAAAACAGTGATAATGTGCGAGTGTGGTGAAAGTGTTGAATGATGATGAAAGTATTTTCTTTTTGGGGATTTTCTTTCTTTTTTGGGTCACCCTGCCTCGGTGGGAGACGGCCGACTTGTTGAAAAAAAAAAAAAAAAAAAAAAAAAAAAAAAACATGTACAAGGTATACAGACATAGCTGACATCAGTGACATACTGCTGTATAGAAAGCTGCTTGTTATGCAGAGTTTTCAAGAAAATTAGGTCAGTGTCCCAGGATAACGCCCACACTAGTCGGCTAACACCCAGGTACCCATGTACTGATGGGTGAACATAGACAACAGGTGTAAAGAAACACGCCTAATGTTTCTACCCTAGCGGGGAATCGAATATTTACCAAAAATCATATATGGCTAACCCAAGCCAGGTACTAGAAATAAGCCACGTTGACTTTTTTGGGTTATCCTAGGTTCTCTACACATATGCTGCTATGTGTGAAAACAGCTTTTTTGTTTCATGTTTATGGTGCAGTACGAGTGTATATCACAGTTAGCCCTGTGTTATACTCCATTTTCTCTAATATAAGCCCCAAGTCAGGGATAGGAGAATGGTATTTGTATACCATATCCTCTTCATAAAACTAAAAGAGGAGGCAGTTAGGGTAAGATATAAACAGCTATTGGAGGATAGATGGGCTATCCTCCAATAGCTGAAAAGGTATGGGGTAGGTTTAAAAATGTAGTGTTAGAGTGTTCAGCAGAAGTTTGTGGTTATAGGAAAGTGGGTGCGGGAGGGAAGAGGAGCGATTGGTGGAA